TAAAGCCAGTTAAAATATAGAGGTTATCTTAAGTTCAGTAGAAAAGCTTAAAATGAAATTCACATATAAAGATTGACCTATTTTAGGGGTTAATTGTTCTGTTTTCTTCTTAAATAAAGTATAGTGATTGACCTAAGGGGCCTAAATGGGCGTAATATCTACAGCAATTAATGTATTTTGTCTATGAAGAGAGAGTCAATTAGCTGATAGCTATCAGTTAATAGGGTGGGAAGTAGAAAGTGGTGGTTTTCAGCTGATTTATTTAAATGTTGATGGAAGTGATGTTTGATTCTTATTTTAAATATAATATCATATCAACACTTGTAACATCATTTTGAATAAATCAAAGAATTGTATCCTGGATGGTCAAATGTAGTTTTCTCTTGCCGTGTTGTTCCTTTGTTCGATTACCTTACATAATTTTAAAATTTATTTCTAGTAAAATAGAGAAAACTTAGACCCTAATCCTGCAACTGGATTCATATAGGAGAGCTCCTACATGCAGCTCAATTGAAGTATTAGGCCTTCACATCAGACGTGTAATTTGTAATGCTTCACAATTTTTTCATCATAACCTTAGGTTGTTGAAATAATGCTTAGCCTTATTATGCTGCACAGTAAACTTGTTAGTGAGATCCATTTGCAGGATCAGAACTGAGAGAGTAAGGGTCTGTTCCCAAAGATCCAGTTGAAGGATTGGCACCAGAGGCTTCAGTTCTTCATGCTTTTCTACATGTGTGAGATCTTGTGTTGAGCCAAAAAGTTATTTGAACTCTGTTCAGGCATAGGCATCTGGCCACGTAAATCAACTTTGAGAATTGGGGTTGCAACTGTAAGTTTGTTAGAAAAAGGGACTACGTATTCTTATTATATGTGAATGTATTACATCTAGCAAAATGTAGATGCTACTGTAATATAAGGGACGGCTGTATTAACCTATTACAATTCTACCTGGTGGGGACAGACAACTCCTCTTTTTAAAAGCAAAATATTTACCATTTTCTTTTCTGTCCTCCAGCATATTGTCTTCTAGACCAAGAAATGTGAATGAAGTAAAAAAGATTTTTCTGTTTTGTTTTTTCTTCCCCAAATCGTGTTTCTAACTTTCAAATACTGGAAGGTATATTTTTGTTTCTTGAGGCTATGACATTTTATTTGTATTTTATTTTTCTAATACAAGTATCAAATGAAACAATACACTTAAGAACATCTCATACATCAAACTGTAGTATTTTTTTAGTGTTGTAGCAAATTTTCTATCGCTCCTTTTAAAATGTTTTAATTTTATAGGAACCAAAACATGAAGAAACATCACATACCCTTTTTGCAGAATATTTTACTAGACAGCAAATATTTCACAACTTTTAGGCTAGTTTTAATTCTGCCAATTAACAGCTCTCTCGGCTACAATTTTTACTCTTTAAAATTATTTAATTATTAATTCAGTATAAAACATGATGGCCAGAAATTTCCCAAGTTGAATATTCATCCCTGGATTTCAAATGCTGTTAAATCTAAATCCAAATTATCTGCATTTTTGTAATGTTTCTTTACTGTTAAATGCAAGGGCTTGCTTTCTTGTTGAAATGTATTCAGTGTTGTGACCCCAACTGGGTGATGTATGCTTCCTTTCAGACATGGTTTGCTTCAAACAAGCGATGACAGAATCTATATATTCCCAAATTGTCATTATTTCTGACTATTATTTTAACTAAGTTTCAGACCTGACAGAATTTAAATAGAAAAATAATTGAAACATCTTTCTTATAAAACAATGTAACATTATAGCAGTCAGTGTTGCATATTAGGATACAATGTACAAACTAAGTATGTAAAATAAGCGTTTTGGAACGATTGACTCAAAAATTTGCTGAATTTTTGGTGTGTAACAGAGCAACTTTGTAATTATTAGTGAAGTTATAATAAGTAAAACTTAAAACTAAATATAAATAATGTAAATTTAATTTCTGGTAATTTATGTAGATAAAAAGAAGCACCTCTTTCTCCTTCAGATGTCAATTTGTTTAATACTGCTTGTTTACTTATAAATACAAAATTATTGTATTGGTTGGTTTCCCTGATGCACAATAATAATGCTAACTGATATTGATTGAAAAAATAATTTGTCTGCGATTCCTTTGTCAGGAGAACAATAGCATTTTAATGCACTTATTCACTGACAGACCCTTATTTTGAATTTGTACCAGACACAAACAGTACTTTGTGCATTGCTTTTATATACAGTATGATTATAGACACAGGCTTGATTACTGGACAGGTTTTTAATGGAAAATAGTACCTTCAAACAAAGTATATGATAGTTTACTTTTTGAAACTATTAAGTCACTTGGATTATCTTTGAAGCACTTGCCTTAAGTTCCTAAAATAAGAATAACCATTTAAAAAGGTTAATTGGGTGCTAGTAGTGCCCAGTGCTGTTTACACAAAATGTAAACAATGGGAATATGTGATGTGGTTTAGGCATACAAGAGTAATCTTATTGCTTTATTATTTGTATTACCATATTGCCTAAATTCTCTTGCTATGGATCCAAAACACAGTGTGCTTGGTGCTGTACAAACAGAACAAAAATGTGTTCCTACCCCAAAATAACTTACTAGCAGAGTATAAGGCAAGACACAGAATATGGTTACAGAAGAAGGGAGTGCAGAGAGACAATAATGATCAGCATAATAGGCAGTGCACCCATCAGTCTAACCTTTGTCAAGTTTATTAAAGTCATCATGGGGGGGAAAAGAGTTAAGAGGATTTCAGAAAGGTAATGAGGTGGCTTTGCAGATGTTCATGGAGTGCTTCTCCCTAGTGTGCAGGGGAGCTTGGGAGAAAATGTAAAACCAAACTAGTTATTTTGTATTAGCAGCTAGGAGAGATTCTGTGCCATAGGTTTTTACCACCTAGTACAGGCATTCAAAATAGTTCAGCTACCATGATTCATATTGCTGCTAATGATTATTACTAATCATGTTTATCATGGTATTTCTTAGGGACCTACTGAAAGTAGGGCCCCATTGTGCTAGGTGTTTTACAAACACAGAATAGTAGATAGTCCATGTCCTGAAGAACTTAGTTGATGATCCATGTGTGCAAAAGAGTATGTGTTGTGTCTTCACCAAAATTGAAAGGAGGATCTGGTAGGTTTAGAG